AGTGGCAGGGGGAAAATAAAATAAGAAGACCCGTTCAAACTTCAAACCTCATCGCGGTTGGATGCTCTCATGAGAGAGCGTCTGAGAAACCGCTGGATAGCTACGTCAACATACTCGGCTCACGTGAAATAAAACTTATGTGCACTGCAATTTCAAATTAAAACTTTCAGTGTTTCAACAGCTCTTGTCCAAGGGATACTTTGGATACGTTTAATTAACACTCCTTCATGCCAATGTATGCACCAGCTGTTGGGCCATCTGTGTCAGTTTTACGGCTAGATCTATCAATTCTGTGTCGAGATGCCACATCAATTAACGTGCCGCTGAGAAGTTTAGTGGTGAATCTCAAGCGCTGTCTCATAATAACAAACGTTACCTCATAAATTGGGACATCTTAGCAAAGAGTACAGCCATTCTTTTAGCAGCTTGGATGAGTTCATTTCCCTCTTCTTCCCATTTCAGAGCCTCTCGATGAAGATGATGAGCCGCCATCTGTGACACAACAACTAGAAATCTTTAGTAGAAATTCTTGCTGAAAATTAATTTCAAGCTCAGTAATCCGTGATCACCAGAAATATTAGGAAACGTATCACTGTGATTCAAGAAAAAAGCTCTTAAGGAGTGGAAAATTAAACCGAAAGCAGTAACGGGAAACAGTCAAAGTGTCTGAGGTTTGTGAGCATGTCGTGGACTTTTTATTGTAGTCGGTCCTAACAGGATCAAATAAAAAATGTTCACGGTTTTCGGAGCTTCACAGGGAAACGACTCAACAACAACAACAACAACAAAACGAACACCATCTTTATGATAATCGCACAAAGTTTCAGCTAGCGAAGAATAGTCCGGTAAGAAACTGTAACCCTAAATTTGACAAATATTCGCAAGACACGGGGGAGGGGAGGGAGGCAGTTATCCTCGGCACATTATTTTAAGTACTCATACCGCCATTCTGTTGTCTTCCGGTGGTTGTTCCAACACACTCTGAACCTCCTTCATTTCATCTGACGGGAGGGGTGGGCGTGGTGGCGGTGGGGCTGTTTCTTGAGGGAGGGGTGGGCGTGGAGGAGGCACTTCTTGCACCGGTGCTTGAGTTACAGCTAAGAATATAGAGATATGATGATACCTATCTGTTTACAGAGTTGGACTGGTCTTTTATGACTGGCACAGCAACTATCACTTTCCTTGCTTAATGCGTAATGCGAGTGAGAAAAATTAAACGTAAAAGAATTAGTTATTCGTGAGCTAATTAAGAACCACGGACCATAAATATCGATAATTTCGTAATTCATTTTATTTTACTTAAAGGACCCTTTCAATGAACCATTATCAAAATGATAACAAAAAGTTCTAGCGCTTTGCTTTCTTCGAAATGTCGAGAAGTTCAATATACGCCCTGATGGCCTCTCCCCTCTCCCTCCCCCCCCCCTCCGTAAAACAAAGAAAAATTATGGAAAGTCGGTAACTTCTACGCCACAACGCGATGCAATCCCGCTTTTCAATTTTTGTGAGCTAGAAGATGGTCCTTTCATCTCTTTTGATATCGGATTTTCGATACTCATGGTCAATGACTTTAAATTCCCATACGTCTGTTTTCTCTTATTTACTAAAGCTTGTGCGCGTGTTTTACTTTTTTTTTTCCCTGTTATGACAACGTTATTGCAAAAAGGTGAAAATTCTCACCAATAGTCAGTCCTGATATGTCCGGGGGAGGGGGCGGGAAGTCTTCTTCCTCCTCCTGTGGCTGGGAAGGTCCGGTTACGATCACTCGCACTCCATGCACAGCATCTTGAAGCTAGTTGAAAACAACGTTACACATACAATTGTTCCATTTTGGTGTCTGTAGCATTCACAATCATCTATTTTCTCTTTCTACCAAATAGGCCGATGAGAACTTAGTCTACGCGTACCCGTACCCTTCCCCAGCGCTCAATCGTCGGGCATGCACGAGGGGATCAATTCTGGCTGGCCGCACGCCAATTTCCTGGCATAAATTCCAAAGGAAAACATGATATATAACCTTCGGGTCGCAAAATAAGCGAAATAAAATTTAAATTTCATAGGAATCTGTGAAATGAAAGAAAAGTAGGGAAAAGGAAGTTTTAAAGACTTTTCGAACACAAAACGTATTCAAGTACGGGAAAATGTTGTTGTTTTGTCATTCTGTTTGGCCTTAACCGAAAAGGTTTTACGCTTTTAAAAACTGTGACTTACTGCCTTGAGTGGTTGGTGTAACTCGTGTGTGGCAACTTGGTTCATTGTCAGTCTGAAAGTATGCTACCTGGTCATTGCAACTTTCACACATGCACCAAGTTTGACCAAGAGACAACCACCAGGGCTGGACACTAACGGTTGCCAACTAGCCACAGACAAGTAGAAATTCAGTTTTGGCTGGTGGTTTTCGATTTCCACAAGCCAGTTTGGCTAGTAAACAAACTGAAATTGTCGTAACATCTAAGTTGTCGCTGGCCACTTGGCTAGTAAGCTAAAAAGTTAGTTTCGAGCACTGATCATGCACTTTTGAAAAGAAAAAAAATTATGTGATCTGGTTAAAAGTTTGTAGCAGAGCGAGGTTTTGATCCTCGGACCTCTGAGTTATGGGCCCAGCACGCTTCCGCTGCGCCACTCTGCTGCACTCACTAGCAATTATAAATTCTTATTATTTAATCAGACCCGTGAAAGTTGCATCTCATTTATCACTTTCACGGGTTTGTTACGAATCAACTTAACGGCCTGCTCCCAGTTGGCTTGTTAGCTCAATTGGTAGAGCGCTGCACTAGTATCGCAGAGGTCAGTGGTTCGAGTCCCGTACAGGCCTGATTTTTTTCAGGTCTGATTTTCGCTATTGCATAAATAGCGCTATCTACTGCGAGGATCGTGCATCATACGTATCTAATACCGCAGTTCAAAATATAAGAACTTCTTATATTCATTGCATCCCAAAGTCTACTAGTCTGAAAGCATAATTAATGTATGGGGTTAGATGGTACAATACAATACAATACAATACAAAGACTTCATTTAAACACGATAATTGTCAAAGCGACTACACGCTTGTGGGGTCGTGCGTAAAACTAATTCGCGTTAAAACTAATTCGCATTAATGCTAGTTAAGTTTACCACTGTGGTTCTCTGTTGACGCGTTTAATTTGTCGAGAAAGGCCTAAGGTATGCATTTTCTTAGCCTAAGCTTTGTCCTAAAATGTTTCTCTATTTGTAGATACTTCGAGAACCATCCCACATGCAAGATAAGGCAGTCATGCTTTATCACAAGGTATAGCGTGTCTTAAAAAATGTTGCCTCTCAGGGCTCGACACTAAGGGTAGCCAACTAGCTACAGAATAGTAGAAATTCAGTTTCAGATGGTGGTTTTTCGATTTCCACTCGCCAGTTTTGCTAGTAAACAAACTGAAACTGTTGTGACATTTAAGTTGTCACTTGCCACTTGGCTAGTTAGTTGAAAAGTTAGTGTCGAGTCCTGAACCACACTAACTTGACGCTTCAAACTAAAGTTTCCCCCGACATATCGGAAAGCTATTATACTGAGGGTATCGTGTAACACGCAATACCGCAACCATAAGAAAATAATACCATTTCAGGGATATCACCATTTCTGACGGAGAATCTATTCACCTTTCTTGTAGAATCCCTCAACTTTCCCTGCGCCTTCTTGTCTAATGGATTTGTCGCAACAGCTTTAGCGTCGATAACAAGCGGCGTGATACCTGTTAAAAACACGTTAAATCATTGAGTTGTTCTGGAAGTAAAGTCACCCGAAACTCCTCTCTTCAACAAGTCACGGAAAATACATCTTAACAAAATGTCATTTTGAATTCGAATGAATTTTCTCCATCCTGAGCCATCATCGTCTTGTTGCATTTTTGATTTTTTCTACCCTCTGCGGTGTTTCTCTTTCAGAACAAACTATTCACTTGTGTTTCACTCTTCTTAATATCAGTTTTCTTAACCCTTTTAGCCTTGATAGTGACCAGCATCTAATTGCTCCTCACCATATCAGCCCTGAATCACACATTAAGGTCTCGAGAATAACGGAAATGATCAACTCAAGAACCTCTTGATTGTTGAACAAATTCTCCTTGTCAGCACCTTAGGAAATGTATGAAGAAAAGTATGGAGAATATGCATACTGACGTTAGGGTGTTAAATAGCCAGGTGTGAGCATGGAACACTTTAGCCTTACACTGTCCTAGATCATCCTTTGCCGCGGCCATTTTTGCAACATAATCAGGGTCTAATGAATTTTCCATCTCAGCCTCTGCAACATCCACAACCCGCTTGGTTCGCCGGGCGATGTTGGAGCTCTTTGAGATCACCACCTATTGACAAACGAACAAGAATTGTCTGAGTCAATTTGGCCGCCATCAACCCTAAGCACGCTTGGGGAGAACAAATACTGACAACAAATTTTAGCTCGCATGCGATTGGTCTAGACGCGTCGAATGTCCTCATATATACTTTAGTTAGAGAAATATTGGACACTTACTCACCGACACTGAAGTGAATGATTAGTTTCCTAGGGTAGTTTCCTCCCGTTAATATGCCGGAAAATGTTCAGAAATTTAAGTCTTGACGCGCACTTTTGTTTTTTGGCTGCTCGAAGGTGAACAACACTTGCAAATCACTTCCGTGCAAGACAATCAGCGTGCGAAAAACCCCATTAACCTTTGTGGTATACAATTAAGATGGAAGCCCAAGTTGAACATTTTGTAGTTGAAACAAAACGAGAGATAACTTGTTTTTTGATGGAGCCATTCAATAAAAAATAATAATAAAACAGTAACATCCAATGTAACTCACGCATCCAAAAGTGAGCTGCTAATAGACGTTTGGGTCCGTGCGTTCGAAAAAATACTCAGAGCTGGTTCGATTTAATATGCTCGTAATTTTTTCCTTGCACATGATCTGTTCCTCAAAGCTGTCGTAAAACTGATATAAAACTGTGTAGGAACATAACATTTTCGTACCTGAGGATTCCCTTGAGTCATTGCCACATCGCACGCATCAGCATCTCGGTTGATGGCTTGTTCTGAAATTTATCCATCGATACATTTTTCTTACACAGTGTTAAAATAAATTGAGATCCCAAAAGAATTAGCAATGTCATAGAGAGATTAACCCTTTCGAAGAGGCTTACTGTTTTTCTTCCCATTCTGTTGCTGCAATTCTGCTGTTCACTTAATTCTGTGACTGTAGGGCATATAGAACATGCCAAAAGTTTTCATAACTTTTTATCCTTAAAGACAAGTGAAACACATTCAATCAACATACCACAGGCTTCAATAAATTTGGCAGTGTCCGTTGCACTGTCAACCAGATTAGTGAGGGTCTGCATCTTCTCTTTCCAGATGTCCCGCACATTTTCAAAGTGGACTGACACAGCAGGCACATCTCCAGGTGAATATTTCCCATAATCCAACAGGATCTTGGCCACATGAGAAACTTGGGGGGTCCATTCTTTTAACTGACAGCAAAAAAAAAAAAAAAATAGTCTTCAATAAATTGCTTATTGAAAACGAAGCAAATTTTCTTTTCACTAAACACATGTTCAAAGAAGTTTTCCCAATGTTAAGAAATCAGGTGCTGGGATAATGCAGAAACAAGATTTCTTGTCTTCAACTTAATGTCATCTTTTAATTCCTCCCAACTCAAACAGCGTTGGCTTCAACTCAGGTAACATTGAGGGTCTCAGGGATACCCAAACACACTCTTGCACAACCCTCCGACCCCTAAGAGTCAAGCTATAGTATTCAATTTCTCCTACAATACCACCTCTGAATCAAACCTTAGGGTCACAAGAATGAAGGAAATCATCACTAACTAAACAAGCTTTTAATTTTTACACAAATGATCCATCAATAACAGCTGAAATTCCCATTCAACAAGGGCATTACTTTGTATTGCCTTTTGATTGCGTATATCTCCAATTATTCTGAGAATTATTCACTCACTTCTTCTGCATTTTGCCGTATCTGGTCTAATAATCTCCTGTTGGTATTCCCACCAGCATTTGCCAGTTCAATGGCTGTGTTAGCGATATGATTTGCTTGATGTTCAAAGGCACCTGCCTTTTCCTCAAACTCAGCCTCGCGCCCTGGTGCATCTGAAATGGTCAATGAATAAAAATAATTCACAACCTTTTGTAGATTCAAAGTGTCATCCCAGCCAGTCACATGACTCGTGGTGGCTATGTAATCACCCAAGGGTCATGTATGCATGTACACCAATGGAATTGGTTGCAAGATCAACATGAGCTCAGGCAGAGTGACACAGTGAACTCTCTGGCCCAGAGAGTGACCAATCAAATGTTTCCTTGCACTATCACCCCTGAATCCAACATAAAGGTCTCAAGAATAAAGGAAATGATAACCAACTGAGAAAAGCTCTTGATTATTAAACAATTTCTCCTTATCAGCACCTTGGGAAATGTCTGGAGAACAGTATGGAGAATATGCAATCTGATGTTAGGGTGTAAAAGTTTAAAAGAGAACATCTTACTAGAAGATTCAACAGAATTTTTACCTGGCGGAGCTCTTGCTGCTTTCTCTAACAGCTTCAAAGTTGTTGTAGTGTCCATGAAATCCTCAGCAACTTGTGCTGTGATTGCATTTTGTAATTTATTGTTTAATTCCTCCAGCTTTCTCTCAATCTTTTGAGCAGTAGCAACTGCTTGAGGTGAATTTCCCTGTCAGATACAATATATTATAAAAAATCTAACAGCCGTGAGATAGTAAGGTGGAATAACAAGTTTTTTTTTTTGGTTACTTTTAAAAAACAAGGATGCAAATTTAGCATACAAAATGCCAAGCCAATACAGGCAATTCATGTGCAGGCTTTACACCAAAATGGGAAAAGTCTGGATACATATCACAACCCAGCTTCAAAAAATGTTCTTATTTTCTGTGAACATCACACCCGCATGCAATCGACACAGATAAAATAGACCTTAAATCAAAGCAACATACCATGCCCTTTCTCTTCAGACTGGCAAGATCATTTGTAAGTTGATCTAGCTCATCACAAAGCTTAAGAATTGCACTTCTTTCTGGACCAGAACACTTGTCTGCCGTAGCGCGACCCTGCTCAATGCACTCACGAATGGCTCGTTCACCTACCAAAGTGAAGAAAATTACCTGGGCTTTAAAACACAAATTGTTTAAAGTCAAATCTCGATTACCTGGACCTCGATTATCCGGACTTTTTGATTATCCGGACTTTTACTCTGGTTCCATTTCTTTCATGATCATTAATGAGCTTTGATCTTCAAAACTTTAAGAGGTAAAAAATTCAGAGACTATGTTTAAGGTCAGAAAAGTGCATTTAAAACAGCGCATTACCTCCTCTGCTTTCAAAAGATCGAGTGCTCGGAGAGTTATTGAAGCAGACTTTTAGAATTTATAGTGTGTTATCATTATTTCTTTTGTTTACATCACTGTCTCATTAATATTCATATTTTTGATTATCCAGACTCTCGACTATCCAGACTATTTGCCTAAGTCCAAATGAGTCTGGATAATTGAGGTTCAACTGTACCTCGAAAGAGTCCTTCAGAACTTGTTACATTATGGAATTATCACCTTCGCACTCGCACAGCACGCACAAATATGCAATTCACATAAGCACGAGCACCGCACTCAGTATAACTTATAGTGATCTTGTAACGAATAAAAAAGTTGTAAGTTTCGACATGGATCTGAGCAAACAACAAACTTAACAAACAAAATGATTGCTTGAGTGTTATGTACTCCATAATAAGGTTCAATAAAGATATCTCAGCAACAGATAGTAATTTACATTATTATCCAACTACACCTAGACGACTACAAATAACGCCATAGACGAGTACAAATATCATGCGGTATTTGTACTCGTCCATTGCAGTAACGGTTAAACAGGTTTTCTCGCATCGCACAAGTGAAGAATTGGATTGTAGTTACGAAAAAGAAAACAAATGGCGGACAATTTGAATCATATTTCCGACGACGAAGAGTCAGAATGGCTGGCAAATATAGATCCAAGTTCATTAGATAAATCGAACAAAGAAAAACAGCTTGACGACCAGAAAATTTCTTCATTTAATGAAGAAAATAGAAACAGCAGCACAACAA